AAAGTTTGCAATTAAACAATAAAGGCGGTATTCCATAAGGAATTGTGTACTAATCTATAGTTCACGTTATTCTACGATGTAGTCATTTCCCAATAGTATTTCAACAGATCAAAAACTCATTTCACTTGTTTAGTTTTAGTGTCGCCCCCCAGTGGCACAGCGGTATTTCTGCGGACTTACAACGCTAGAAACCGGGTTCGGATACCCGTGTTGGGCAGAGCACAGATAGCCCATTGTGTAGCTTTGTGCTTAATTACAAACAAACAAACTAGTTTTAGTGTCACTATTTTCCCCGGAAGATACAGTGTTTTCATTTAAAATGTGACAAGCAGGTCCATAGCATTTTCACATATTTAACGTCATTGTCAAATTCTTTAATTCTAGATTTTAATTAATTCCCGTTTCACCATAATATACCTTTCAGCAGTCAATATGAACTATAAAAATTCTCAGATGATCCATGAATAAGGATTGGAGCTTTATGTTAATTTAAATATTCAATATAATTTTAATGGTTAATACTCAGTTCTAATGTTTAAACGTTTTAGCTGTCTACAAATATGTTTTGAAAGGTATTTTTATAGGGTGAAGTTACAGCGCCAATACTGTAATAGTGTCTTTAAATATAAGTATAAACTGCATCAGGTAATCATTCATGTTATGGGCTTTAATTAGACAAATCATTACTTTGTTGAAGTGCTATAGAAATTTAAAAATACACTTAAAATCTTACTACTGCTTGTTTTATGTGGTAAGATGATGATGGGTACTAAAATTCAACTTGATGTGTTTGTTTACACTACTTATGTTCCAGAAGGTAACTAGTATAGATATTGTGTACATTAAAAAAATGTTTTTCAATATTTTTTTTTCCAAATCTTAGCACGGTGTATAAAAATGTTTAAAGTTTCCTCTTCAGCTTCTTACAATAAGAGCAAAAAATAGTGAAACTGTGGAAGTCAAAGTAGTCTACCGTGTGTTAATCATTCTACCATGTAAGGAAAATATTCCAGGTGTTAAAACAAACTAAGAACTGCTAACAGGTACCCTGAACTGTTAAATTCATTCATGTAGAGAGAGACTTTTATAATTTTAAGCCTATTTTCAACATCTCAGAAATCATATTTAAAACTACTGGAATGAAGAAGACGACAGTCATAACCAAAACGACTGGCTTTTAGTTTTAAACTTTGTGTTTCATAATCTAATTTATAGATCAGTGTGATCACAGTTTATAAACTAAATTATATACACAAGATGTAACTCGACAATTACAGGTGAGATCCATATATAGACCCCATCGGTGTTTTACAAAAAATTTTTTCGTATGTTTACGTATAAAATTACTTGTAGGTCCAGGATTTTGTTGGTTACAGGGTTTCTAATCATATATGAGCCACATAGAAAACGTAAGCAAAAAAATACCATCAATATTATAGTTAATCTAATTAATTAGTGCTGGGGTAGCATATACATTCTACATGTATTGTTAACGAGTGATTTCATCACTTTTGTTTTGTTCAATTTTATACACTAAGTGTTGTAATAGACAAAAACATAAAATTACTCAATATGATAGTGTAATATATGGACCCCACCAATAGTAATGAGCATAAAAATAAGTCGATAATTTAAGGGTTAGTAATTCAGATGATCTTCCTTTTGATTAGACTATTCAATTTTATTTTAGTATGTCATGAAAGTGGAACAGAAGTTATATGCTCTATTCTTCGTTTCCTAAACGGTTCAGGGCTCGATTCAAGGAAGGGAATATCGACAAATAAGCAGATGATGTGGTGTTCGTTTTGGGAACTTTGACTTCTTGACATCTAGATGACCCTGGTTCGTATTCCAAACAGATAGCTGCCACTAAGTCCGAACTATAGCCGTTTATTGACGAAGTAAAGTATTCTGCTTCATTCGGATTGCATGACGCGTCGATTGCGTCTAAGGAACATTTCTGGTACTTTCCAAAAGAACTGAATGCAATGATTAATTTTACTTATAAATATAATATCATATCACAGTGTTAATTGCGTTTTCAGCATTTCAAGTGTTAAACTTTTATAGTAATGTTGGAAAAGAAAAATTACAAAAGGTAAACGTTACAAACTGTCCTGTATAATAGACATATTCTAACACATAAAAATCAAATTACAAGTCATTAAGTACAGTTTGGTTAATGAAGTCTTACAAAGTAAAGTATATCAAATTATACAACAATATAATTGACAATCTATGTCATGTATATATTCGGAAACACACTTAGAAGAGCTTTCATAAATAAGAAAGTATTTAAGGTATGTAAGTTATTACTTAATTTGTTACTGAAAGACACTAACGGCAGATCACTACTGAAACAATATAAATCTTGAAGAAAACAGAAAGAAAAATCAGATTCTCTACAAATTAAATTAACCGCTAATATATTGTTGTGGGTTAAATTTTCATTACTTTAATGTTTAGTCCACAAGAAGAAATTATTTTACACTGTATAAAAATTGTGTGATGTCCAGAAGATTCACTAAAAGTTTGCGCCTCTGTTGAATCTCGAAGCTTCCTGTAGTATGTACAAAACTAGTAAAATATAAAAATGTCAGATTGAGTGGGTTAAAATTAGTTAACTAGTTCAGAGGCCTAAATCTTCTAGACTTTACACAATTATTACATAATATAAAATAACTCTCTCTAGTTAACAAAACATTAAAATAATAACAATATGGCTTACAATATCAATATAGCCCATAATAATATGAATGTTTGAAACTTTGTAAGGTTTTTCAAATGCTACAAATAATAAGTAACTTCAGAGTGCGTAATTATACTTAAATATGCGGGTTGTGAAACGAAATTTCTTGTTTCTCATTATACTAGTCTTCATAATGAAAATTAATATAGGGGTATTGATGCATATCAAACATGTTGTCAGTATCTAAAGCGATACTTAGACACCCAAGGGATGCCGCCTCAGTGACATACGGTGTGAATAATACTAACTTACCTTTAATAAGTATGACCTAAATAGGTCATCCACCTCTGACCAGCGGTCACTGAAGATAAATGATTAACATAGACCTAATCACATTGGTGAATGTATAACAACTCGTAATCAACTCGCTCATCTTGAACCCTCGATAAGATATCGAAGAAGTTCCAGACTAGGAAGAATACTTTATATTGCTTGTAAGTTTGTAAAACTTTTGTTTATAAAGCATTGTTTGTAATGACTGTTATTATAAATTGTGTTATTGTTTGTATATTAAAACATATTTGTATAAAAGAAAACTGTGTATCAATCTTGTTGGCAAATATCATAAACTGACTATATATATAGGCTTTTACTTAACTACTAAATCCAAAGTACAATTGAACTGCTAAATTTAAAGTATCATTTCACTCAATTTCAGGCTATTTGAAATTCTAATACATAACATAATAAAATATATACAGAAAGGTAAGAATATAATTTTCTAGAATAGTGATGGCTAAACATTACTATTTACATAGGTACTTTAAATCTAAATTTCAGCAAAAAAATCTACTTAAAATGCTAAATATGAAATTATTGTATATTATTTAAAGATGTAAATAAGCATCTTTTTCAGGGTAAATAGATGTTATACAATATATTAATTATAGAAATGAATTAGCGATAAGCATTTTCCATATGAAATATGAAATGTATATCATACAAATTAAATATAGAAGCAACACTATAGTCAGTACATTAAATGTGTACTAAGATCGATACTTCAAAACACAATCGGCCATGGAATGTTAATGTAACTGTCTCATTCAATATTTATATAAATGAAACATTAGATGTGATAAAACTTTTCGGCAGTAACACTATACATATATAGAAATACCATCTACTATTGTAAAACACATGCAATATCATTAAAAATATAAATTACAATTATAAGCATAAGTCGAGACAAGTTGAACTCTGTCCACCTATTGAAACATCACCTGTCTTTGTAAAACATACATAATACAATTATATATGTAAGCAAAAACTAGAAATGTGATGATAATGATAAGAACTAGAGATTCAATGTAAGTTTTACTTATAAAGTGTAATTGTGATAAAAATTAAAAACTTTTCAGTATTGATAACAGTAAAACAACATTATACAAATTAGATAAAATATCAATTTTAAGTTTTTGCTTGTGACTATAAAGTTAATGACATGTTGGAATACTTTGATCTACATCACCCTCTGGGGGTTCGCTCGTGAACTATCTGTGCTGATGACCTCATCATCCTACTCCCTTCTCTATCAAAATACCCTCTGGTGCCACTTCATGAAAATATGAACCCTAGCAATGCATCCTCTGGTCTTTTACATATTACATAATAGTTATGTAATATGTAACCCTCAGGCAGCATCCACTGACGTAATATCCTTTGGGTGCCTAAGTACTGTTATAACTAATTGTTAGATATACATGGCTGTTCATTTTATGTGTAATACGAGAGTAATTTATTTTATATTGTGCGAGTGTTAAAGTAGGTAAGTGTGAAATTGAAAGCAAAAGTGAAAAATGTGAAGTTAGACTGCATGTGAGTTTAGCCATAACAAGCAGTTTCTAAAGTGAGTTTCACAGCTTGTAATTGAACCCACCTATGTGACGAAAAGGAAACAATTATTAAACTCTGGATACAACTGTAGTAACAAACAGTTATAGTGGTGATTTTAAAGTGAGTATCACAGCCTTGTATTGTAATAACAGAGTAAAGGAGAATAATTTGTCTTGTTAAAAGATGTTCTAAAGTAATTGAACCTGCCTGTATGGACTTTGACAAAAAAGAGACAATTATTTAAAGCTCTGGATACAACTGTGATGACCAGTAGTGTAAAGAATATTTGTACATACGTTTAACTTGTTTTTAATATATTGTTTTACAAAAAAAGTGGATTGTGCGCTGTCCGTTTATTGTTTAAATATATTGTCAACATGTCACAGATACCTACTGTAAAGAATCGCAGCTCTATACAACCTGACACTAATGCTGTCCAACTGCATTGGTTCGGTTATTTTGTTTTAATACTAACTAAAGTATAGGGACCACAGCTATTTAGTATAAGTAAAGTGTGCATGCCAATTAATCACCTCATCAAGTAAGAAGTAATATTAAAAACCATAAGTTGTTGAAATACTTACCAGCAGATAGTCGGAATCAACAAATCAATGTCAATAATAGAGACCAATTCTAGATCAAGAATAAAATTTTTCATACAACCTCTTAATGGCTGGAAAATCTTTTCTACACATTTGACATTCTTCAAGTAATCTGCGGCAAATAAATCAAGAAAATATACCAATTACTCATAACAATGATTGGATTAGTAATGACATGTTTAGGTGGTACGAAAATGTTTATTTTTAACATGATACCTAACTTATATGTATAAAGTAGATTTTTATGCCATTTTATATGGTTGAAATAATTATTTTTCCATTTCAATCATGTAAATGTTACCGTTTACCTTGTTTGTTATTAAGTATAAAGATACACACTTGTGGTCTTCCCATAGTAGGTATCGAAATCTAATTTTTACTATTATAAACCCTCAGTCTTACCACTGACCACCAGGAGGTAATATCGTTAGCACCAAAATATTTTCAACACAAAAACATCAAATTATTTAATTATGGTAAGCAAATATATTAAGGTTAATAGCTGAGAACGTTATACTCGAAACAAATAACCAGCTGTCCAGAGTTATGGTAAATCAAACTTACTGTCTCTTCTCTCGCATCTTTCTTTGTTTTGGCTTATCGCACCCTGGATAAAGATTTGAGATAACTGCCGAACTAATGAATCAATGCACAAGTCTGAATATTCTATGACACACTCTTCCATTTCTTTCTGTTGTCTATGAGTCAGAAATATTGGAAACATTTGTTAAGGTGTGAATGCTTTTTACAAGTCGGGGAAGCATGATTATAATTATACTTGCATAAGACATTAGTGTCAGGCCTATTACATTTTTAAACACTACATTCTTGATCTAGTACCTAAGGATTTTTTAAAATTAGAAGAGCATATTATAATAGTATTCCAACCACAGTATATTTGCCATATCTGTTGTTGTTTCTCCTAATCCAGAGTCCGTCAGGCCAGCTGGGATATAACAAACACAACATTGAGCAAAAGCGTTGTCGGCAATGGATATAGCAAGTATACTGTGGTTGGAATACTATTATTATGAACTCTTCCAATTCTTGAAAACCCTAAGGGACTATATAAAGAGTGTAGTTTTTAAAAATACAATAGGTCTAATACTAATGTCTTATGACAAGTATAATTATTGAAACTATTATTTATACTAGATTCTACAGATTTAATGGAAGAATTAATAATCAGAATTGTTTTTACACATAACATTGATAGAGTTGTTGTTTCGTAAAGTGATGCTAACCACATTTTATATACTCTATCAATTTTACTCCTGAGTAAATCTGAGTTACTTGAGGAAATAAATAAAAAGTAATGATATGCTATTCTGTTAACTTAAAATTCCATTTTTTATAAAGATCATCCAGCTAGTTTTGGGGAAAGAAAATGGTTTTGAAATTTTAGTTATCCCTTTCTCATAGATATCGAACATAAATTATTCAGTATGAATAAAAAAATTATATATATATATATATAAGTTAATAATTTGAAAGATACTTCACCTAGACATAAAGAAAATTAATGCTATGATGCATGCATTTTGAAAAATTGATAAAACATTTTATCTACTTCGATTTTCACAAAGTAAATAGACAAACAATCACATTTGTTATAAAATAAGTTGCTTTTTAATTCAAAAACAATAATTTACTTTGCATAGTTTTACATTATAAAAGTAAAAAGCAGTGAAGGATTTTCTAAAGCTTTCATAGGGTAAAAATGTTTGTTGCTTTATGCCCTTTCTATTTTGATTTTTTACCTGCAATATTCTTCAAGTTCTTCAGCATTTAAGGAATCAGAGCATTATAATTGTTAAATGGAATTAGAATACTGGCACAGTAATCAGCCCTTTCTTCGGAGCATTCTGTCTGACATCTGATAGTATGGAACACTAAATATTTCAAATATAAAATAACACATTAGCTTGAATTAACCTCTTGATAACAAAGCAGCTGTAACTGTATCAACAGTTTCAAAACAAAAAGATCTAAATATAATGTTCTAATATTTATAAGATAGCCCTCAAGTAACTTTGCGTGAAATTCAACAAACAAAAACAAATTTTTCAGTCTGTTATTCAAAATTGGTAATGGCTATATTACGAGAAAAATATAAAAGCTTTAAATTAGGATTATATAATAATCATATTTTGTTTAACTCTTCATTAATTCATTTTACTATATTTTTGTTATTGTAAGAGCAACACGCGCATTCATATTTACTTCTAGCAAATATCAAACAATATTACACGAAAAAATAAATCTATGTTAATTTGTTTGTTTTAATTATGCACAAAGCTACACCAGGGCTATCTGTGCTCTGCCCACCACGGGTATCGAAACCCGGTTTCTAGCGTTGTAAGTCCGCAGACATACCGCTGTGCCACTGGGGGGCGTTAATGTTAGACAGGTTACAATAAACATATATCTATGAACTGAAATCACTTAATCTTTAAAAAGACTACTTGTCTTGTTCTAGCAGTTTTGTCTTTCTGGTTAACACAAAGCCTATTACAGATAATGAGCTACTGATACAAGTTTGTTTTTCTCCATGAATGTTTTTAATCCACAATCTTTTTACAAGAAAACAAAAACCTTCAAGAAATTTAGCAACGTATGTTGTAGTATGTAGGCGTATCATATGTTTTTATCTTTTCATTTTACTGCAGACTTTTTTATTTTCGTTTATTCTAAATCGATACAATTTTGCATAACGCGTGGTTCAGAAATACGTTAAGATGGCTTCGTTCTTCCTGCCTTTGTTGTTTTGTTCTCTAGATATTATTCCTGTGCTGGCTACGGATGAGTTGCTGTAATACTGCATGTTATGCAAGATTGTCGATAACAGTGTCCTTCAACAGTAGGCCAAATGATATTTCAAGGCTACGGCCTACCTTGTTGTAAATGAGAATAACCAGTCACATGTGAGCACTAGTCGCAATGGGTAAATCTGATGTTTCTTGTTAAGTGAGAAATATTGTATTTTAACAGTATTAAACAGGATCTCAAGAGAGCTGGTTGACAGGAAGACTTCTCGAGGAAAGCAAGCCAATTAATAAATTCACATGTACGCCAGAACGCACCGTGTTTTTTATCTTTGTTAATAAAAAATATCGTCTTCATTTAATGCCATATGGTGTATCCATTTTTTTTTTCTCAGCTTAATCTCAATCACTTTAATTAAATTTAGTATTATTTCACGACTTATAAAGCGGAACTATGGAGCTGAATTAACTTTGGTGGTGATTTAGGGCTTCTGAACTTTATGAAACCCTACTACGCATATCAGTTTCTTCCTTTACTAACTTACCACCCTTTGCCCAATTTTAAACACTAGACCGATATTAAATGGTAACTTTTTATATTATATATTCTTTTGCCATACACTTAGCATTTAAATTGTTATTATCTATTAATTCGGGATAAACCTTTATACAAGGCGAGTTACAACGTTCCCAAGTATCCGTGTGTAATACTCCAATATACAGTATTAAGCCGTGCAGTCTACTCATTCTCTCACAAATGGCCCGGCATGGTCAGGTGGTTAGGGCGCTCGACTCGCAATCTGAGGGTCGCGGGTTCGAATCCCCGTCCCACCAAACATACTTGCCCCTTTCAGCCGTGGCAGTCAATCCCACTATTTGTTGGTAAAAGAATAGCCCAAGAGTTGGCAGTGGGTGGTGATGACTAGCTGCCTTCCCTCTAGTCTAACGCTGCTAAATTAGGGACGGCTAGCGAAGATAGCCCTCGTGTAGCTTTGCGCTAAATTCAAAACAAACAAACAAACTCTCACACAAAATCATGAAGTAAACAATACACAAAGAAAAACACCATTGCTACCAACACCAAAACCTCAACAGAATACCAACACAAACAAACAATCTACCACACAGACATTTGCACAGGCAGTAAAAACCCACACCCAAACTGAAGAAACCACAAAACAAAAGAAGAATACTAAACACGTTAATGCTAAAACAGAGGAATTAACAAACAAAATAACAGTGGGAGTCACAAACATATTTTACAAATTTCTGGAAAAATATACTAACTCCCAAAACCAAGAGGATTGCATCACACTAATCATGAAAATAGCGCTAGAACAACTACTACCAATATTACCACAGATAGCACAATTACTCTTACTACCACAAACATCAAAGAACTCAAACTCAAATACCAAGTAAACATAAGGCTACAATCACATATACAACTTGAAAACATAAAACGGACATGGCCCTGGAAAGAAAAGTGGTAATAGAATTCAACAATCAAACCAGCCAACCAAAACCCAAACCCAAGAAGATAGCAACATATAATAACAGTACAGTAGGGAGAAAGAGGTCTACTAGAACCTGACCCTCCCAGTTCGTAAAAGACCCAAATCCCGATCCGGAGAGAGAGAGCGAACATACACTGGGAACAACGTAATAACACATCAACAAAGTACAAATAGAAAGACGACAATATTAATAAAATCTTTCAAACATAATTACTTTTTAGAACAGATATAAACATGTTATAAGATGGTACATATTCAGTAAGTCAACCCAAAAGTAAACTAATAATTATGGCAATGGTTGTGGAATTTGCAAGGAAAACACGTATATTCATAAGCGACACTTCAAGTAAATTGATCAACAACACTCCAGCTCGCGAGAAACATCACTGCGAACGCGCTACCTAGCAACAAGAAGAGTTTGTATTAACAAACTAAAATGATAGTATGCCTACTGAAATATTGTTTGAGTTCTTTCCCTACTTTTGTGTACGTGCTTTCTAACTGCAGGTTTGGTTTTGGTGTGTCGTTTTGTTTATTTTTCAGTTTTTGTTACATTATTCCTTCCACTGAACTGATTAATAAAGAAGTTTCGTACTAACACAAAACAAATGGGCGACATGATTTCTTGCATAGAAACCTATACTGTTTGAATATTATACTGATATTTAAAAATATTAATAGTATAATAGTCATAAATGAGGAACACGGCTTTTCAAATGCAGTTGTTATTGATATCTTAAATCGGGTTCCCGCTGATTTCAAGGTTGCGTTTTATCAGGCAGTCTCTGCTTTAATATAAAAAAATGCTGGTAAAACAGCCGTTCTCTAGCCTGATACATAAAATTACGCGCATTTTTAATATATTATACTTGTTAGTTTATTTATAGTTAAGCACAAAGTACACAATGGGCTATCTGTGCTCTGCCCAACACGGATATCGAAATCCGGTTTCTAGCGTTGTAAGTCCGTAGACATGCCGCTGTGCCACTGAGGGTCATATATTATACTAAATTATAGGCTATATGTTTTTCGGGGCCCCTGAGAATACAACAATCTCTGTTTTACTTGAATTTCAAGGGCAGTCTGATTCATTTGAAAAACGCTTCCATATTTGCAAAATTAAAAAATTAATTTTCTCTTTTTTATAAATATTTATTCCACTTGCAAACCTGTTTACTTGAAATGTTCGGTATTATTATATATAAAACGACGAAGAAATCTTCTACGGATGTCTGAGGTTGTAAAGGTTGCCTTTGTGAACCTGAAACTATATCTAAATTACAAAACGTAACGACAAAAATTCAAACTGTTAAGCTTTCTGTATTATCTCAAGGTTGTTTACATGCTCGTTTTTAAATATAAGTTGCTTATTTCGAGTAATTATTTATGTCACGTATTTGTTTTTATTTGATATCTATCTACCTATCTATATATATATATATATATATATATAGATATATATTGCAATGTAAATAAACATTGACATTTTACTGGGTTTGTTTTGGTGTAATTATGCTTTAAAAATTTGGCAAATACTTCTCATTGTGCTACTGACCAAAACCGCTTGTAAAAATCGTCAGTAAACCTGTAATCTCGTAAACTTCATTATAAGGAATAAATTGCGTCAAATCTAAAGTTTAAGATCAGTGCTATTTTCAAGTAAGTAGAGAAGAGGTGGGGACTCTTGAATTAATACTGT